GCAAGGAAAGCTGATGTGCACAACGAACAAAATCCTTCCTATGAATGGTGGTGCTTTTAGTAACTGAGTAACTTTCATAAGATTATCCTGTCGCTGTGTTAACCTTTTCCCACCCCCTCTCCCCAAAGCCTACCACTAGCCTCAAAGCGGCGAGGTGCGAAAAAGAAGAAACAAAGAAGAAAACAGGAGAGACAATCACACCTCAATGAGCTAGCTACCCGGGGATCGGTATATCCTCTTCAACACGCACAAAGAGGGTCCGGAGCGACGCTGATGGAAACACGGGTCTATGTGCAGCAGAGCAAAGGGAGACCTGAAGAGATCTGTGGACAAAACCGCAGCAGGATTTGGAGTGGACAGGACAAAAAGCCTTCGAGGCATGAAGACTGCACCTACAACTGCCGTACCATTGCCTCAAAGACGGTCTTAATCTGAATCCGCAATCTTGAATGAAATCCGCAAGGAGCTCCGCTTCGACGGTATTGCCCTCCGAGAAAAACCAAGAAAACAGCCATCAAGAAGACTAACGACGACTATCTATTCGTTTAGTATCGAAAGTTGATGGAAGAAACGTCGACGGCGTCGGATTCCTAGTCCATCGTCGGATCGAATATCTTGTCGACTCATCAAGGAACTCGGCCCGCGACTAGCCATTCTCCGCCTGCGCATCGACAAGGGCACCACAGTCAGCACCATTAACTGCTATGCGCCACGTCAACAGCAACCGACGGAGAAAAAAACGCCTTTCATAAAGAACTGGAGGAGGTTGTGTTCATACTACAAGTACGTGTTGGAGACTTCAGTACAATCATCCACGAGGTCAGACCGACGACAGCAGGCACTGGCCCACGGAATCGGGGAAACGAACGGAAACCGAGAACGACCTCTGGGAAACATGCGACCTATCCCACGGAAACCGATTCTTCGTGCAGAAGAGGGCCGACGTTAGACATGCGAAAGACCCAATGCAACGACTCGCAGCGGAATCGACCACTTTCTCGCTAACCAAGGAGGGGTAGTCTACTTATCGTGAGACTTTGAATGGAGACCCAGATAAATCGATAGAGTTTTGAATGCTATTTTCGGAAATGGAAATTAAATCTGCTAAACGGTTTTCCTTAAAAAGTTATGGGGTCTGGAAATTTGCTTAACAGGGGTATTATTTGGAGATGCGAACTCGTCACTTCGGTATCAAGTGCCGACGTGGCATAGTGGCAGTGGTCTCGCTTCATAGGCGTACAACGAGGGTTTGCTCCCTGCCGTCGTCGGCGTTTTTGCAAAGTGTTTTTTCATTTCATTAAAGACTCTCTGAACCTTTTCTGACATTTGTTTTGGTGAAAGGCTTATTTCTGCTTTCATTTTCACTCGTCACCCCTGTCCAGGGAAAGTGGTTCTGCACGTCAAT